TTCACCCCATTTCGTTTAAGGTGATGAGGACTGGAAGTAGGTGTTTTCATCCAGGGTGGACTGCAGTTTCGACTTCACATAGGTCTTACAAGCACCCCCATGACAGTGCAGCGTGTAAGCTTGATACGTTAACCACTCCACCACATTGTCACGAGTACTCTTGGGTCACAGGGCAGATGTGAATTTCAACGAATATCATGCATTTTTCATATCACATTCTGTGTTGAGATTGCCGATGAAGCAAACTTTAATTTGCTATAGTAATCGACGACATTACTTTTTTCGTTATTAAGTAGGTTTTCTAGACTACCAGTAAATCAAATACAGGAGATGTGTCGATGTCGTCGATTGCTATAGCAAATATAAGTTTGCTTCATCGACAATCCCAACACAAAATATTATATTGAAAATGCCCGGCCTTCCTTGAAATTCGCATCTGCCCTATGACTTAAGGACACTCTTGGCAATGTGGCCGAGTGGTTAACGTGTCGAGCTTACATGCTGCACTGCCATAATTCGACTCCAGCTGGAGGTGTTGATAAGACCAAGGTGAGGCCGAAACTGCAGCCCATCCTGAATGAAAACACCTTTTGGGAAAGCAAGGTTATATAAAATTCAATGGAAACGTCAGCTCTACTTATATTATTGTCGGAAAATTCAACAGCCATTCGTTCATCACCCTAAACGAAATAGGGTAAACACATCTTATATATCTTATTTACTGGTATTCTCGAAAACCTACACAATAACGAAAAAAGTATCTGATTGATTTAGACTCCAAAAGACTGTTCTGGTTTCACTAATGTAGGCTCCTTGAAATGCCGATATATATGTTCCTCTTAAAGATAAAATGCCAATTGAAATCTAATGCAAAGCAGCAACGCAGCATCAAAGAGAATGATACTTAAATGTCTATTTAGATAGCTAAAGGTCTGGAAAGTATACTCAATGATCATTAAACCGTAATAAACGAGTAATTTAAAAAAGATTATCATTCGGCCAAACCAGTGACCTTCGTTTTATTTGCGACTCCTTGAAAAGTATTTAAACTCGAATATGCAAAAGAATCACACCCAAGGAGGGCTGAAAGAAAGTGGTAAGAGCATTTGCCAAGGAGTCACTAATATCATGTTATGAGACCTGATTCAGCAGAGGTAGACTTAGTGTAGAACAAAATGTGACACCTCCTAAGAAATCAGTTACTCTAACATAGAATGGTAGAGAAAAGCTGTATTAGATTAGCGATAATAAGGGCTGCGTTGCTTTCGAAAGTTAATAAGCGATGTTATCATATGAATAATCTGCACCACTTAGTTTTGCTGAAAAATATCATCCCAAAATGACACTAAATCTCGTCACTGTCCAAGATACAAGGGCACTTAAAAATTCTCTATTAGGCCAGATGTCTAAGTGAGATCTTTGGGCTAAACCACCGGGCTAATGCTGGACTCTCCATTAGAATGGGGCATACTTTGCTCTCCCAGGATGCAAAGGCCCCCACGCTTAGCACCTTGAGTGAAGCCATATTTATATGTAAGTATGTTTGTATTTATCCACATGTTTAATTTTAGGTTTACCAGAACCTAGATGCTGGTTCTCGGTAGTGTGTATATTGTGTGCTGATGGATTCGTGAGACAGCAATATAAGCATATACCTACACAAACCATTGCTAGTGTTTGCATTATTTCAAAAGTTCTGGAATATGTTGTTTTTAGTCACTTCACCCCAATCATCAGGTATATGGCGTATTAGTCTAAGCAGCAATCAGCTCTTTATTAGAAAGCCCTTTTTAATTAATGCTATAAACTACCCAAATACATAATCAAAATTGCTTTTATATTTATTATGGGTATACTGACTATCGCTTCATCTAGAAATCAAAACTGTTTTATGAGGGCATTAACTAATATAGGTGACCTAAAGATCCCTCCACTTCGTGCACCAATTATCCATTATCACATAAATTTAAGCTTTATTTTGCGTCAACTTCTTTATTATATATTCTTGGAGAGATCAGCTTCCTTAAAGTACAGGCTTATTTCTTTCCTATCTGGTAGACTGTCCATTCTTATTTAAAACAAATTTGTCTTTAATAGGTTCTTCATTTAATGTGAAAGCTACAAATGATCAGTCTATCTAAACGTCACTGTCTCCTCTAAACTTAGGGGAGAACTTTAGTCTTCATCGAATCCTTCAACTTGTATTTATTGCTATTATTTATTTTTGAGGATGTGTATAATTGGATTATCTACTTCATCCTATTGTTTGTGCTATTACTTCTTAACACTGTTATTCTTACTTACGATGACTATTATACTATACAAAATATCGTTGCTGAGCTTTCACTTTAGACACGAGCTTAATTAAAGATTAAACTTCATATACCCCGTCCAAGATCTTACTCTCGAATTGATCATGAATACAGGGGACTCCGGACTAGGTGAGTTCCTCTAAGTCTTCCTACCAATATGAAAAAGTTGTGAAAACAAGGTCAAACAACTTCTAAAAATTAAACTGTTCGATATGATCGTTTTTCCATTGTATTTTTCTAGACAAGTTTTAACATATGCATATAAGGATTTTGTTTTTGAGATTTTAAAGTCTAAATTTGTCTTTAGGCTTCCAAACTTTGATAGTTTTATGCAAGTCTCGCTGTAGTTGCTCTCGCAAGACCCTCGGGTATTTGTTCATTTTCACTTATGATGGCGTAATGCTGTATGAATGTCTAATCTAAAGCCTCCCATCACAAGTAAGGCATCTAATTTCTCATAAATATTGAACTCTGATATATGTATACCCTTCATGCAATTTTGACTCCTACTTTTGATTTTACTACTCCAATAGCCATCTTCTAAAATGTAAAATATCCATAAAATTAAATACTAATAATCATATAATATAATACAAAAACCTATTTTTAGAATACCAATGTTTTATATTCCACCCTTTTAATCACTGTGACAACATTAGCAGTACCTCTTTCATGATTTCGTCTTTCCTAACATAATTTAGGATTGGCAAGGAAAGTGAAACCTAATCCGGTTGGAAATTCGCCCTGAAATTTATTTAGCTGAACATTTCTTTTCGTTTGGAGTGTGGATAGAAGATATTCGGAAGCGGAAACCAATGGAAGATTGCTATTAAATTGTGATTGTTTATTTTAGCGTAGGGATTCACGGTGCACCTGCCTGCTATTCCAATGAATTTCTTCTGAGCGTTACTCTATCCTGCCATGACATACATCTCCAGAGCACGAACTTCATCACGAACACTTCACCATACCCCAGGCCAAGAGTGTTGGTAGACTGTAATCCTCCTTTATGATCCGACTTTCCTGAGTAAATTAGGTATCCAATGATTTGTTTGGCTATTTCATACTTTATTTATATATTTACATATCCGAGGAATGGTTGCGTATGGCGTGTGAATTGGATGCCGTTGTGACGAAAATACTGTTTTCTTACTAAAATCATTTGAATGTTGTATGTAATACTCATGATTAATGCGAGGTTTGAAAGCCCTTATCTAATTCGAGACTTATTAACTCTTCTTTTGCTCGGAGATCTTTCCTGCTTTCTCCCTCTTTTATTCTGTCGAACAGCCATGAGTTTTTACTCATTTTTCTAGACTTGTGTTTTTTTTCCATTGAAATAATCTTCCGCATTATTAAATCTCCATATCCTGCAAAACATTTGGCTCTATGCTCTTCTAACTGAGCTGTATTGGAGCACGAACGCACAATGTTGTAACTATCTAAATTGGAGAGAGACTGATAATTTCTTGAAACAAATCATTGCCGAAGATAGTGTTATTTTAGTTCCTTATTGTTCTAATGCCCGATTCTCCCTCCCATTCGATTGCTTTACAAGAGTCGATAAGACGGTAAGACAAGGATCCTGGCAAGGTAGTAAAACTGTATGTACTAGCCCAAATTAATATTTCTTATCATTCTTTTGTGTATGGTTCCGGAATATGTGACAAATAATCTATAAGACAACTATTCTCAAACAAAAATTCCTTCACGTATCGTCTTATTGTTCCACTGATCAGCGCTTGCCTGATGCGTATTTTCTTTTATCATGAATATTTTAATAATATAAATTAGGAATAAACTTCGCATCTGTGGATTTTATATTCACCTCTATACCTAATTTGGCAAGGATTAGGTAGAGGGAGCAATAAAAACCGCCGAGCTTATGGAGGAGGCTTGATAAGCATATGTCATCTGTATAAGTTATATCGCAGACCCTAATCACTTGGTGATGACTCTGGGAATTTTTATCACGTGACATCTCTTACTTTTTGCTCATTATTTCCCTTAACTTAAAGAATTATCCATGCTACTATTTTTCTGACAGCCACAAAATTTGCTTCGTTACTTCCTATCTGATATAATCTAGTTAGGTTTAGGAGTTCTATTATTATACCTGGCATTGACTGAAGCATAAAAACGTACATAAGTTCATTCATTGACTTATTAAGAGGTTAATTCTTTCATATAAAAAAAGAACCTTCAACTAAGGCTAACATTTAAGCGCAGCTTACAACGAAAATGCATGAACTTGCTTCACGAGGCTTGGTATTCTCGTATTAGACTTGGACGCATTAATCACTCTCAAAGTCAGATCGTTTTGTGGTGCTCTTATACTTTTAAGATTAAAATTTTTTTATTTAACTATTTTCTTGATTTTAATATGATTTGAAGACATTATCTGAAGCTCATTGTCATTAACTACACATCGTTTTTTTTTAAATACATGCATACATATGTATTTATTTACTTTTATTATACTATTTTTGCCTTACTTTTCTCTGCCACCTGATTTCCTATACCACACCTCTTATTCTGTTTCAGCTTTCTTCTCAAACCTGAGTTCATGCGCCGTCCAGAGCGCCAATTCGACCCTTTCTCGGAGTCGCCGATGGATGGAGTTATTGCAGCTACTTGTGAGGTGCGAATCATTTCGGGCCAATTTCTATCTGATCGCAAGGTCGGCACCTATGTTGAGGTCGACATGTATGGTCTTCCAACAGACACCATTAGAAAGGAATTCCGCACCAGAGTGGTGCCTAACAACGGTCTAAATCCTGTGTACGGAGATGATGCTGTCTTTGTATTTCGCAAGGTGAATTGCATCTTATCTTTGCACATTCTTCTCTTCCTTATTCTTTCTTCTCATTTTTGTCCGCATTCCAGGCTAACTGTTTTTAATTACGATAAGCTTGCCTGTGTTTGTTGCGTTAGCCTGTGTTTTTGACTGCTGAATTTTGATCTTCTAACAACACGATTTCACACCATCCATACTATGTGATCTAGTGAGCACTCTAATTTATACCGCAACAAATTTCAGAACTTCAAAGTTTAGAGTTATCCAAGGTACGAAACCTTTCTTTACTAATCGTCTTATGACCACTGAGTCCCACATGACTTTAAGCTAGAGCGTTATTAAAAACAGTCTTGTGAATGTAAAATGATTAAGCAGGGCTGTAGGCAGTGCCCTCTTGAAAATGACAGCTCATGACACCTTGTGAGTACAGTAAAACTAAGGAAATAACAATAAAAATCCGCTTTTGGGTCTGCTGCCTAACTGGTTGTGTCTGCATGATTGGGGTACTAAAAACCAGACGGAAACCTAGGATTTCTTTTACGCTCAAAACTTTTTAGCGAGACACAGGTGTTGCCTGTCCGGAATACAATTACTACTAGATGAATTATATGCTTGAGATATATTCATCTTTTAGTTAAGGTGATGAAGGACTGTTAATTGAATTTTCCCACAATGGTATGAATAGACTTTATTTTTCCATTGAATTTTACATAATTTTGCTTCTTAAAAGGTGTTCTCATCCAGATTGAACTGCGGTTTCGACCTTGTCTAGGCCTCATCAACACACCAAGCAGGACGCAAAGCATGATAGAACAGCCTAATCTCGGCAATTTACCCGCAACACAACCATGACATGAGTGCTCTTGGGTGATAGAGCAAATGTGAATTTCAAGGAAGACCAGACATTTTCCCATATTGCATTCCGTGGTGAGATTGTCGATGAATAAAAGTTACATTTGCTTTAGGTATCGACTAAATTATTTATTTTGGGGGAGACTTTCATTTCGTATGAAAGTGCATAAAGAAAAGATTCGAAGGCCGATCTTTCCAGAAGAGAACGGCTGATTCCTGTTGTACTGCAGCCGTTTGGCTTTGATACGACGTTCAGGTTGACGCTTTTCACGAAGCATCCTCCCTCATTTCGGGTGAAAACGGGCTAAACTTTCTCCCATCATACGTTGGACGTCATAAGAGCTTGAATAAGTCTTACGTCAACATTGGGTCAACAAGACTATTCGGCTCTATCTTACCCCTTATACTTATAATTGAAAAGATGAAAATGTGTAGATAGATATAGAATTATTTGACTAATTCCATTTCATATTTGTCATGGTATTTTTACTTGAATGTTTCTGTATGTACATGTGTGTTAAAGTTTATATCAGAGAGATCAAAAAGCCTCTCAGGCTCTGGTCACGAAAAAGCCTATTTTTTTCCTTTTAAACTTGAATTAATATAAGAAGTAAGAGAAAGCCGGACACTCTTCTCGACCTATTCGTCAAATTATTTATCGTTTGTAACTAGGTTTTCGCTCTATCTACATCTAAAATTTATAATCTACTTGCAATTATCTGTCGCCTTCTGGTTTCGAAGCCATCGACAATATGCTTGATGCAGAATCATTCAAAAATAGGTTGTTTGCAATCCTTTGATTTAAACTTTTCTTCTGCCACTGAATATGAGATCTATTAAACTGGCCATCACTCGAAATATCTTTAAGTCTTCCATATTCACTTTTATTTTTCCTCCATACTGTACTTTTAACCTTTCTTCCCTGCATTCAAGGTTGTCTTGCCAGATTTAGCTGTCCTTCGGTTTGCAGTCTATGAGGAGACTGGTAAGCTTATTGGTCAGAGAGTCCTGCCTTTGGATGGACTTCAGTCAGGTTACCGACATATCTCCCTCCGGACCGAAGGCAACTTCCCACTTTCGCTGCCAACTCTCTTCTGTCGTGTATCCCTTACAACCTATATCCCCGAAGGTCTCAACGATCTAGTGGATGCTCTCTCTGACCCAAGAGCATTTCTTTCCAAAGAAGAGCAACGCATGAAGCAGGTCATTATTCCTTTTTATATTGCTTTAATGTCTTTTATAGCAACTAGGCAATATTTTTTCGTACTTGTGCTTGGTTTTCACTTTAAATTCGCTAATATAAATCGCATATTTCGAAAATTCGGTCAGATTTATATTGATAACTATCACAATATCCTAGGTTATAGTAATTCAAAGAGTCGAATTTTAGGGGCAAATCAGCCCATAAATATAACTTAAAATTTTTCCTCGCTAACTACAGAGGTTTTAATGATAACAGAGTTGCGATACAGTAAATGTAAACAACATTTTTAATGTCAGCTTTCCAATTCACCAACGATGAATCTTCTAGCTCTTATCCGGATTTTTATTCACTAGTGGATTACGCCCACACATTTCGAATGAATGCTCAACAATGCCCATTTGGAGAGTAAATATGAATTTACTACGTAAATTTGCCTTCGAACTTGAAGGAGCTAGAAGCCTACTCACTTTGTCAAAATCTGCAATCCTCATATATTATTCAACTGATAAACAAGCTCTTATTTAAGAAGTTATTTGACCTTGTTTTCACAACTTAGTCATATTGGTAGGAAGACTTAGAGGAACGCACCTTTTCCGAAGTCCATTGAATGCATGATCATTTCCAAAGTCGGACCGTAGACGCGGTACTTTTCCAGAAGTTTCGCCGGCATCGTCAGTGAGTCTCGCCATTCTTAGTACCATAATAATGCTAAGTACAGCTAGAAAAAGAAAACACTCTTTACCAGTCTGCCGACGCAACACGAGAAGACGGACAAGCTTGATTGCTCGGTAGTTTATTGCATAAAATGCGACAACTGTGAGCAGAAGTATATCGGTGAAACTAGAATATAAATCGGACTACAAATCAGGGAACATCAAAGAGTCTACAGGAAGATGGATACGAATAGATCATAAATAGCGGAACACATTGCACGAACGGGGCACGAAATCGATTGTAAATCGACCGAAAGGTTGGTGAAAATAGGAGAAAACGCAAGATCCGAGAGGCCATCGATATAGTGACCGAGATAAACCTATTGAACAGAAGATTTGAAGAAGGCAAGATCAGCGAAAACTTTGCATATTGCCTAAATAAACTCAGAAAAGACCAGGCAACAGCAAGATCAGCACAAATAAGAAGACTGGATCAAGGTAATATCCTTAATTTCAGGAAAAGGGATCGCAGGGGGACGAGAAAGGAACAATCAGAAGCAAAGAGGAGACGTCTTCAGTTAGCCTAATCAAAACAAGTGGAACCACGACAATTGTGGCAAACAAGATACTATGAAGTAAGAAGTGATAGACATAGTATTACAGATAGAAATAGGAAGGACACCGTGGAGACTAAAGCTATTTGGATAACAATAGACGTGTTTAAGCATAGACGTGATCTTTGAATCACGACCATTCTTAGCAAACGAGCTCTAGCTTCCACTGTTTCTATCCTCTTTCTATCTATGATATAAAGTCTATGACTTCCTATGCCCTAGTCTCTTGTGTGCCAAACCCACAAACGTTGTGCTTCGACATTGAACCTAATCAAAGCAATCAGTACCATAACATTTGTGGGTTGGCCCACAAGAGACTGGTGCATGGGAAGTCATAGACTTGGTATTAGGCATAGAAACAGGATAGACGCGACGGCGATGGGAGCTAGTGGCCTGGCAGTAGGTTCTACCAGAGAAGGGGTCCATGTAACAAAGGCGTGACCATGAGACTTATTCAGAGGTTTTAGCCTCGAATTAGTCCCCCAGACGCAGGGGAGGGCGAATAACGCCCCGGGTAGCACAGATGGGGTGGCAGGGGTCAAGTGAAATACGTGAACCAGGGAGAGAGCAGACGAATCTTACGGGGCAAGAGAGAGACTGTGATAAGACCTATGGAAGGAGGACTGCGTAACAATATGGCAGACTCTGGTCAACATTTCTAGCACACAGGTTAAGGGA